CGTCGGTCGGTTGGGTTGCCTACATACAGGCGTGAAATTCCAGAAGATAAATTTGGTTCTGGCGCCCTTATTTTAGATTTCCCACCCCAAGTGTCCTATATCAAAATACTCCCCTAGGCACCCCCTATACGCTCCCAAACGGTGGCAGGTACTATAGGAATCACCCTGTATACGGACAAATCAAAAACTATAAATGGGACGGGTAGTGCCATAGTCACCGAAGGTGCAGCATATAAGTGGAGATTGAATACCATATCGTCCATCCATTTCGCTGAACAATATGCATTATGGCAAGCGATCCTGTATTGTTCCATGGCAAATAATAGCAGGTTCAGAATCGTCACCGATTGCGCTAATATATTGCATGATCTTACGGAAATTTATTCACGTAACGCTATGAATATAATATGTCAGTCTGCCTTAAATAGTATCCTCGCACAAGGGAAAGTACTTACGTGTATATGGGTTCCAAGCCATGTGGGTATTGAAGGCAACGAACAAGCGAATAGCGCTGCCTATCAGGCGGCACTTGTGGAGCAGGTGGAAGTTAATCTTGCTGCTCCATATGACCTCGGGAAATACCTGAAAAACGAATGCCACACGGAATGGCAAGAAAAATGGACAGCAACAAATACTCACCTTTCACAAATAAAACCCATCGCAAAGGGGATGTTTACACTGCCAGGCGCAACTAGAGAAGAGTGTAAAGATGCACCGTCTGAGAATAGGGCACATTCAAATAACCCACGAACATCTATTTAATCGTACTAATCCCCGACAGTGCAACCGATGTAGGATGGCCCTCACGGTGGCCCATATAATAAAGGACTGTCCAGTATTGTCTAATGAGCGTGTAACACATAGTATTATGCCAAATTATAATCAGAATTTTGCCAGCTGGGATAAAGCTAGAAATTTATTGAATTTCTTGAAAAGTATTGAAGTGTATGGGAAAATTTAGATGTGTGGTAACATATATGAGAATTAAAAGGGGATATGACCCTTAGCTGTCGAACCCTCATTTAAAAAAACAAAAAAAAAACAGAATATAGATTTCTAAAACGAGCTCTAAAGATTGCAAAGTTAATTATACCAACCTCTTTTTTTAACTTCAAACAAGAAACATTTCTTGACAAATGCGTATTACACTAGAACAAAATTTCCCACTTTGAGTACAGACAACACAGCTTACACGTCACAATCTGTATAAACCAAAATTTTACCGAGTCGTATCTCTTTGATCTTTGATGTAGGTATGAAATAAATAAACAATATTTGATTACGAATATTACGATTAATTTCAAAGAAGGTTTTCAAATTAGATAAAGATGTCTTTTTGACATTTTCCATTACGAGCATCCTATACAAAAGGTTCAAAGTAATAATTTTTATACAGCATCGTACGGTAATTTTTAAATACGTTACTCCATTACAAAATTACAAATTGAATTTTCAAAACAAATTCCACATCAAAGGACTAATTACTTTCAAAGAATGGCCAACAAAAACTGAAATTAAAGTATACCTTTGTCTGTTTCTGCAGTTTTGTAGGTAACAAAATTTAATTAATCTTTACATAAAGTTGCTCCTTTGATCAATTTATAATAGATTTTTGTTCAAATTGTAGCGTGGTATTAATTACAGATATTTGATAACTTTTTATATTTGCAGGTTTCAGTTTGTGTTGTTAGTATATCAAATATAAAATGCACAACAGCAGAGTTTAGTTTGGAAATTGTTCTTTACGTTTTTATGGATTTGCAGCGCATTCAATGTGAGCATGAATTTTCATAGATATTGGTCTAAAAGCTGACTACACGAGGTGGGACATACCTCGGTGCATAAAATATTTTACCTGGAAAATATTCGAAAAGCGAAAACCGGGCCGTCAGAAAACGCGCTGGAAGCTAAGGGTAAAATATTTCACGCACCGAGGCATGTCGCACCCCATGCGTCTAAGTTAGAAGTGACTTATTGAAAAAATTAGATACCTCACTGACAGCGGCATATTTATGTACGATAACACTATTTTTAAATAACAGAGCTCTTTTTTTCTAAACTTGGAACGGTATTTTTTCTTACATTCTTTCTTTATGCAAAGATTTTCAGGCGTCATAACATCACACAACATTCATAGCGTAGAATAATACGAAATAAAAGATGTAGATTAATGAGAAAACACGCACTTTGTCTATTTCTAATTCCTTCAAAAACGGTTACATTTTCAATACTTCACCGCCATTCGGGGTAATACCAATCTCACGAATGTATCAACTTTTCTTCCTTGCCAAAAAAACAACTTCAACGGCATTAAATAGATGAAACATGACAATTTTTCCCGTATTGACTAAAATGTACAATTTGACGACTTCTGCCATCTGTAGCATTCAAAGTACTGGTCCTATCAAAACAGTCTTGTAATCAAAAAAACAAAGTACTAAGAAGTACTAAGCACCAACTATCCTTGAAGAATTGCAGTACTCACCAATCAGCTCTACTTTGCAGTTTGATCACAAAACTGTCTGAACTCGAACAGAATGTGTGTTCAGCACCTTAAGATACTACAAAACGATTCATCCAGACTGAAAGAAGCGGAGACTGGTACCTTCACTTTGAAAGTGTTAAACAGATGTTGCCCTACTTTCACGCCAGTGTTAATTTTTTATACACTAAATCATGTCAGTTCTATCTACAGGACATGATGAACCTGAAGTCATGGCTGTCAGAAGCTGTGTTTGATGGTTTGGTGAAACAAGGTTTTTTTACAGTCCGAAAAACAGAAAAGTTTTGGTCTGGAGCATGGACTGACGTGGCAATTGAGTAGGTGGTAATGAGAACAATGAAGACGAGAGATGGAGGACTGACTCATTGACGAGGAATTACTCATCAAATGGATTGCATTTATGCTTCCAATCATGGAAATTTCTGTGCAATTCTGTGGCTTCACTTATGCATCATCCATATAGAACGCCCTTCCAAATTGGAGACTTTTTGTGATGAGCAACAGCACTGGTGTAACCGGTGATGAGACCATTGAGAGTCACCAAGCACTTGAGAAGGAGAATGACAGCACAAATGGAATTATTGGGTAAAACTTTAGTGATGTCAAATTCCACAGAAAAGGCCGAGTAATTCTTCCCAAAGCCCTCCAATCCAAGGTTAACGATCCATAACGGAGATAGCCCTGTCAACTCAAATACCATATGTCGAAGAATCACATTTATCAAACCGTTGAATGAATAGCTCAAGTAATATTTTCAATATGAGTTGGCGTAATCTAACAAGTCAGTCTTTTATGATTTATTTCCTTCCGTGGCTGAAGCTCTCCCAAGCTGCCTTTGTGATTGGCAGCGGTATCCTATTACACAACGTACCATGGCAGTTAAAGGAAAAGTTCTCAACCATCCTTAATAAATACGTGGCATACATGAACGGTTCCTATAACGCCCAAAGAAATCAGTAATTTTTAATGAGTGCCAAAAGAAAGGGTCCTGTCTAACGAGAAGACTAAAGACTTCACAGTTCGCAAAGCTGTTAAAGATGCGGATACTCTCATCGCCAGGGAATCTGTTGCAAGCGCTAATAGGTGCCGTACACTGACAATTGTAGGAAAAGACCTGCTATCTTTCCACTGCACTGGCCTCCCTCCTCATGCAACAACATCCACCTGCTGAAACCAGGGAAGGTCACCTCATTCAACACTGCCGAAATTCACCTTCAACAAGGAACACCTTCTCTTCCTCTACGCTCTACGTTTTAGAACGATTTCCAGCTGTCCCCAGGTCACTTTGCGGTACCCTCCCCCTCTCATCTCTAATTTTACTAGACTATTACTCAAGTTGTGCTAATTATTTCTATTAATTTGAACACTTGAGCAATGCCAATTTTTCAAATGGCGCTATTGCTCACTTTAGTGTTATATCAACATTCAAATTATAAGCGACACTCAATAATTATTATCAACTCAATAATATTACTAGTAGTAGGTAAACAATAATTGTATCCTTTCTTTTCTTCTTAGTGTCTCAGAGATAAACCCCAGGATTTCCACAAGCAAGGTTCCATTAAAATAAATCACTCGAGCCCAATCTCTTTTAATTAATTTCTGATTTTAAAGGTGTAAATTACCTCCTTCGTGGGAATTAAAAGCAAAGGTATCAAAAAATATACCCCAAAAACTTCCGCGTCCCAGTATGTTTTCATTTATTAATTAACAAAAAACAAACCTACAGGTGTAAGTTTTCTCATGTGCTACCCCTGTATAAGAGATAAGATATTTGCTGAAGGATGATTTAGCCAACCATTCAACCTCTTCAATGGATCGCCCACTCACATTAAATTTATAAGTTTTCAGATTATTATTAATATATACAAGATTCTCAGAGCAAGATCGATTCTTTAATAAGTAAGAGGACCTGTAATATTTGCAATAGAAAATGTTGCACTAATCGATGTTTCTGCGCCTTTTTTTGCAGACCATTATACATTTTTGTGTAGCGTGATCAGCAATATTGAATAAATAATGTATTTATTCCTTGCCTTCGATCTGAAATAAATTAGGACGGTATAGAAGCAATAAAGTAGTTGTCCTGTGAATTTGTTTTATGGCGGGTGTAAAATGCATAGCATATTTGGATTTATTTTCAATTAGACTTCATGCCAAGCTCATCCCGTCAATTGCCATAATTAATAATTTCTTTACGCCCCGTTTCATAAAATCTGTTGTAATAGCTTTGCTTGCTTAATAGTGCAAGATTCTCCCTCTACAAACGTTTAATATAACTACCGTGGCGCTCGTTCAAGAACTTTGCTATGAAAGGGTAGATTGTAACACGCAGTATCCCCGCAAGATGTCAATGTTTTAAAGCTGAATAATCGAAGCTTTTGATATAGGGATACTACATAATCAAAGTTTACAGTAACTTTAATCGTCAATTTGATGCATAAGCAATTCAACGGCGACAAATTTTCATAACTTGATTTAGTATTGTGTGTTACAGGAAGGCAAATAGAAGCTCCGAATCCGAGCACATGCTAAAACGTTGCATAAGACTGGAACCAACATTTACTCCGGCCTATATAGAATTAGCAAGACTTGGTGGACCTAATAATCCAAGCGTAGGACCTTTATTAATAAAGGTCGCTTCATTAAACCCCACTGATCCTTATTACATAACTTTATATGCTCACTGGCTCTTAGATAAAGGTAATTATGCTAACTTAGCTCTGCTACGTAAATATATTGTTTTAATTTCAATCTTTCAGGAAGTTATATAAAATCTATAAAATACTATTGGAAGGCGTTGGCCGCGTCAAATTTCCATCAGGAATCTATGCTTGGTGCCTCAAGGATTTTAAAGAAGTTTGGCCAATATTCTAGATTGTTTCAACTCATTACTAGGTAATTTATTTAAAATCTATACTCTATTCGTGTGTTATGTAACGTAAATTAAATTACGTGATTAATTAATAAATAATGAATTTATAAATCCTTAAATAAGGATTTATAACAGATAATTATTATCACCCAGTTGTACACACTTGTAACTGTGACTAATCTTTTTCGACTTTATGGCGCCTGCTGGCGCCCCGATGCTTGAAATATGTCCATTAACTGTTGTTTAGTCTCTTGTCACACTCCCTTCTTGTTTGATTATTACATTTCTTATACTTATTCCTTCCTTGCTCAGTCTTAATAACTTTCCATTTCTTTCCTGCATTAATCTTATCCAGAATTTCTTCTGTCATCCATTCTTTCTTACCCTTTCTGCTTCGTTCTTTTTCCACCACTTCTTTCAAAGCATTCTACTGCGTCCTTGATGCTGCACCATTCTTCTGAACTTGGTGGGTGCTTTTCCAAGCCCTACATAATACCAAAGAGTACCCATACTCTTTGATAATACACAAAGCCCAAAACCTTCCTAAGTCCCTCTACTTAAACCTTCCTGATCCTGTCTACTGGACTCTTCCATGTGTAGAGACTCCAGTTGTGATGTGCAAACCAAGTATTAGCTATCCATAGATCTTGCCTGTCACAAAATTCCCATCATAGTTCTTACCTGTCTTTTTTTCCGTATGAACATTTTCAATTTGATCATATATTTTTTCAACATCTTATTCTTAGGCGTCGGTATCGCGTGAATGGTTTCCTACCTTCTTTCCTTTAACTCTCCTCTCACATGTAACTCCTGAGGTAGTGCTCACTCGGAGAATTTGAGTGTACTCCAAAACTAAGCTGAGGAACTGTCATAATAAAGAAAGGTGCTTTTTTAGCGATTTTGTGGATGTCCGTTTTGTAATGAAAAAGAGACTGGGGTCCGTGTGCACCCCACCTGATATTAGGTGTTTTAAAAATCACCCAGTGTTAGAAAGGTTAATGTATTTTAATAACTTTCTTTATTTAAAGCCGCATGCTGATTGCATCCTCTAAACATAGGCAAATCAAGAAACTCTTGACTCCGTACGAGATGAACTACTCTCTCTTCCAATCAAATGATGCACTGCAAACGAGTAATGCTGAATCGTAAATAAAACCCTGAACCCCTATCCACCGTAAAGCGACACACCTATTAATACTGTCAATTTCTCCGTTTGCATGCCGATTGCTATCGCATACTGGAAACACTTCTAACTGGAACTCGAAAATGCGCCAGTAACTGCATATTATGCCTTAGTTCATTCAATAATCTACTATGGAATTTTAGTTTGGGGCAATTGTACCTCATCCGCTAACATTTGTGCTCTACAGAGCTATTCGCGTACTAGATTTAACACCTTACGGAGATGATAACTTTAATTAATTTGGAAGTTAAATTTTTTATATAAGGGAAAGATCTACAAATCTTGTTAGGTTACATTTGATGTTGAGAACTTGATAATTGGTTTGGAAGTATATTTAACGTTGAAAAAATTCATTTGTGAAGCAGTTTTTTAGGTAAGGAGTTCTGAATAAAAGTGTAAAAGGCTTTTTATAATTGCTTTCCTTTAAATATGGGTGAAAAATTTCGTTAATTCTATTTTTAAGTGATAAAACTAAATTAATTTTTCTTATACTTTGTCTGACGCTGCTAATGGCAACGAGTACTTTTTATACGCTACGAATACCAATTAAAGCACAGATGTTTAAAATGTCAAAAGGCTCATCAGTAACTCCATATAATATTATAATATAGTATTATAACGGGCGATCAAATATGAGTGGCGGTCCTGTCGCCCGTGGAAGTTCAAGTTAAGCACGATTTCCCATGTAAACAAAAATTCCAAAGATGAGCAACTCATTTTTGATCGCACAGTAGATTTAGTAACTTTTATTTTCAATAGCAAAATCGAAAAAACTAGAAAGGATCATATGAATTTAAAAAATTTAAAAATTGAAGTGTTTTTAAACTGAAGGATTTGAAGAATTTTGTGATTCTGAAAGTTTTGAACACTCTAAAACCAGAAATAATTCGAAGAAACGAGAGCATTCCCCAAATATAAAGGTTTTGATGGAACTAATAAATACTCTGAAGAAACGGTAAAGCGCAAAGCGATGGAGGATCGGAGGAAGCTGAAATATCTGAAGAAGCGAAAGAATATGAATTTGGAAATACGAAAAGAATATCAAGTATGCAAAGACTGAAAGATTTTAATGCAAGTTAATGACAGAAGAATCTAAACAATCTGAACCGCATATGCAGAATCCGTCGAATCGCAAAAGCCGAATTTGATGAGACGGAATAATTCGAAGATCGTATCAAACTGAACAATGGGAAATTAATAGAATTAACCTGAAACATCCGGGAAAATACAAGAATTCGAAGAATCTGAATAAATGAAATATCGAAGAATCAAAAACCTAGCAAAGAAATACCGATTTTAAAGAGTCTGAAACATCGCAAAAATATGTAACGATGAGGAAGCAGAACAATGCGAACAATAGGAAGAGCCCAAAGTATCAGCAAAATGCGAATAACGATAAGAATCGGAAGAAATGGAATTTGAAGAAACTGAAGAAAGATTCCTAGTTCTTGATGTATCTGTTCCTTCTATTAAGCAAAAGTACATCGTTTATCCAATTATTACACTGTAAGTTGTGACTGAAACCTACACTACAATATTCATTATCTTCAGTCTACGTGCTAAAAACACCGTTGCTGTGGTAGGCGAACATTGGGTTATTTTACATTATTGTGAAATTCTATTTCCCACTACGGTCGTTTTAACAAAATATGGATTTGGGACTATTTAGCTTAACTAGAAATACCAATTTTGGATTAATGCTTTGGATTTTAATATTTGTGCTTAAAGCATTTTTCCATTTTCGCCAAATAATTAAATCCATCAAACAGTCCTTTAGATACTACAAGAATAAAAAGTTAGACGAGTTCGTCGGAAACCTAATTAACACCCTTTCACCGTGTTAATTAAAATTTGTTTACTAATCTCTATCTGAAGATTTCTATGTTTAAGGTACAGGATAAATGGGAAATGCGTAATTGCAAGATAAATAACTAAATAAAAACTTTTCCTATTAAACAACTACTTATATAAAACGATATAGAGGTGGAAACCTGGGAAACTTGTGTGATACAAGTATAAACTACCTTTAGAAAGCTATGAAATATGTTTAGGTGCTTTAACTTGATTAGTTTGTAAATATCTCGAAAACTACTCAGGCTTACGTTTTAGGTGGCAGTCTATAATTCGACACCGACGTGGAGAATCTCCCTTAAACCCTCATCTGTACTTGCACGGGTGGCAGTTGAAGACTGAACTTAGTGGAAAAGCCAAAGCATATGATCCAGACAATACATTGATACCCGTATGTACTACTTGCACCCCTATTGTTATATTTTTCTTAATCTGTTTCAGGTCAAACATTGCATTTATGTTAAATCCGTCAACAATCCTACCCCTAAGGACATTTCTTCAAATTGTACTTGCAGAACATCGAGTAAAACGGTTCTGTGGACGAAAAATGACCCTGTGCGTAAGTGTAACGTTAACCGGACACGTTCAAATAAATACAAGCCTAGTACGCCAATAATGATTCAACATTTACTGGATACCGCCTAAATGACTTTGTATTCAAATTGTGATTTCGCAAATAGTGTTGTAAAATATGTAAGAATACCAATAAATGTTAGTCAGTTAGCTATTAAATTATGAATAATAAAAAAATGTAAAGTATATAAATTATTTTTGACAAATTGTAATATGGTGAAGTCAAACGAATGAGGTATAGTTGTTATTAAGAATGCTTGCCTGTTGCACATATACGCATATGGTATGTTTCTCGCGTTAAGTAGACTTAGAATTGAATAAAATGTGATTTATAGAAAGCTAAAGGCACCGTTCTGCAAAACGTATAATCTGGCCATCGCAGTACCTTAAAAAAGCTTAGCTAGTCGAGTGACGATACCTGCAATTTCTTCATAACGAAATATGGATATTTACAACATATCTTAATCGTCTTATAAAACGCGCAGTCTGATTTATTTGTTACACGGTAGTGTCTAACTATTAGTAATTTCTTCAATTCATGTTCAGGCGCTGAGCAAGGAAAAGACTTTAATTTGGAAATTTGCAAAGAACTGCAATGACCAGATTATCAAATTATTCCACAATTTAGCTATTAAAACTTATTTAAAATCCAGACAGTATTATGTAGAATTTAAGCAATAAAGCTCAAGCATTGTACGATCAGTATATTTTTTAATTATACTGTCCAAGTACTTTTCGCCAATAAGATATCTCATTATTGTGATGTGCAAGGGTAAACGCAGTGGAATTGACCCTAAGCTGCTTTGGTTTAAGTATTTACACTTAATTATCTACTTCTAATAAGTTCTCGAATTTATATATGACGTTTGTTTAAGGCATATCAGCAGTATTGGAAGTCAGTATTTCAAAAAGAAGTATCTACGAATGCCCCCAATTCTTGTCCTATTCTAGTTTATTCGTGTGATGATGCACAAGATACTTAAAAAAAATTAGATAGTTTTGGGGGTTGTTAATGTAAAATAATAAGAACCAAAACCGGTAACAGTGTTTTTAGAAAGTTACAAATGCTAATATTTTTTAAATTTATGTAGTGAAGCAATATTCATAGATATATTTTGTTATAACCTATTGTTTAGTATTACATAGCTAATATTAAGCTCTTTAACTTAGACATTTCAAATACCATAGGTTACCTGTAAGTATAATAATATATAAAGCTACTTAAGAGACTTCCTACTTGTAACGACGATTTCTTTATTAGACGGGGGCCATTTTAATAACTCTGTATACTGACTTAACCAGACAAGGGAAGTATTGTCGCTATATCCAATGGTTTATAAGTTATATTATGTAATAAAGCGTCCTTTAAAACTTGTATAGTTTTTTTTAATGTAGTATTTAATAAAGTTTTTTACAGTCTGCTAAGAAGTTTAGCTTAATTAATGGCCATGTATCTTGTCTACCCCATCATTCGTTGATTTTATGAATTTTGTATTAAGGATCAAGTTATGGTAAAGCTACTAAAGAAAAAGAAATGTCATTATAAACCATAACGAAATTCGCTAAAATCCTTTAACAAGGCGAGCAATTTTTGAATTACATCTTTGTGTGATTATTTGCGTTCAACTTAGTTTATGGGAATTTGAGCTTGTGATTGCGGTAAAAGCTATCACATTATTCACAATTCTTACGGCTATATGCACCCACACACAACTAAAGTGCGCTTCTGGCAATTTTTCTGTTCAAAACTCATGAAAAAGGAAATTCCAGTTCTTATATGCATAGGTACATCTTTGACACGTTACTAAATTAACTCATTTTTTCTTACTTCCATATGTGTGAATTCATTTCAACTTTCTTCTTCCGTATATCTTTGACTAGTTTTGAGATTTCTCTAGCATCATTATTACAAGATTTCTTCTTTCTTTCAAACTCGTTTGCTTCTCCGTTGTATGCGTACCTAATTTATTGACCTTCGTGCTCTCCTACGAAGTCCGCTATCAAAAATTTGCGAACCTACTTTGAAATACTTTTTATTTTGACAATGATGAAATAATTTAGTATTTCTGCTACTCCTCAAATTTTCACTCGTAAATGTAGGTAATTCGGAGGTATCTGGTAATGCAAATTATAATCGAGCATCTTTGAGATAGAAGAATTTGAGGTGACATAATGACAAATTAAAGGATTCATGAGATTGTACGAAAATATAAAAGTGGTAGCCTCAAAATTTTATTTGTAAACATCCTGTGGTTTGTGATGAAAAATTCCTCCGTTAGATGTGGCATATTGTCGGCCAATCTTTTGAATTCCCCACTCGTTTTGTGCTTCTCCTGGTCTCTATAAAAATGTGATTGTTAAGACTTCGAGGAACTTAATTCCTGCACCTCTTACCGACCAGAAATCAGAAACAGGTTCCATACCAAGCAGTATTACGTCCCAGACTAGAAACCCAGAATTACTTTTAACTTATTTCCGTTTTGTTTTCATTCACACAGAGCTCTGAGCTCTCCTTTTTATTTCATTATTATTCCCAGACCTGTTAATTTGGTAACTAGTTTTATTTTGCCGTTTTACTCGCCCGTCTTACTGGTGTCGTTAATCCTTGTAGGGTTAAAACCCTGCGTGCTTTACGCTACCTTATACAGCAGTGGTATCTTGTGTTTATGCATTCGCTCGATAGATCGGACTTTAACAAAGTATCATCATCTCCGTGCTTGACGTTCGATTCAACTGATTTTGAGGTGTCGCTTGAACCGTGTGGAAGTTTCTTTGAAGGGCCGTCACGTCGCCAGGAAGTTAAGGAGAACGCTGCCTGTAATTCCTGTACCTGAAAAGAGACAGAGAAGTGGCAAGGAGGCACAGAAGTATCACTGCCTGCCTTTCGTTTAGGTAACTAAAATCGCTTTTTTTTGTACTGAATTTCGTGACCCTGTATACAGACTGATTCAAATTCGAGGGTCACCATGGGAATCTTGAAAAGCTGTAAGAGGTAGGTAGGTAGTTTAAATTTGGTAAAGATTCGTATTTAGATGCTTAACAAAATGCCGTTGTGAAACTGAAAAAATCCAACTACTTTCGGAGATCCTGAAAAAAACGAAACTTTGCAAAATCATTTTCATTTTTTACCGAAGTGGTTTAAAAAGATATTTCAAAATAAATGACACATCATTATGGCCACTTTTGTCCGTCTACAAGATGCTTGTTTTAAATTTTAAGTCTGAAGTTTCGTCTCTAGTGAATCATCATCACCCTTGTTTCTTCTTATGGATTTCAAAAATGTAAATATCACTATTTTTTAATGAGCATTGGCGCTATTCGTTCGTAAAAACGCAAGAAGCTACGAATATATACCACCCCAAGACAGAGTTTACCACGCAAAAAAGAAGATATTTTAACAATACTTAACAAATAGTGATGTTTACATTTTTGCGATCAGAAAAAAATTCTCTATTAAAAAAAGTAAAAATGACTTCAATAAGAAAAAAACGAAGTTGATGTTGTGAACCGGAGAAGCAACTTTCCAAATTTAAACTACCTACCTATCTCTTACAATTTCCGAGATCCCCCGGGGGTCCTCAAATTTGAATCAGCCTGAAAAATAACTTATGGGATGCCAGAAGGAGAACTTCAGCACGACTTAAGAGTGACTTATGGGGAAATTCAGAAAAAGCTTTTATAGGCAGAATAAACGAACTTTGATGTGAAATATGTGATGGAAACAAAAAATGCAACTCAGGAAAACTTAAGGAGAAACTGGAGGAACAAACAATTTTAGAGAAACTTGATAGCTTGGAGAGAGTTGGTAGGAAACTTGACGCGAAGGCAGATGTAAGGGATTTGATGGGAGGAACAAGGGTAGAGCTTGAAGAAAACATAAGGGAACTTGAAAACTTGGGCGTACGTAGGAAAAGAAAAATTGGAACAAATTCTCGAACGAACATAGCAAGGACTTGAGAACTTTAGAAAATAATTTGGCAGATACTTGAGAGTAGCTTGAGGAAAACGTAAAGCGAATCTCAGAACTTATGAGAACTTCAGGAAGATGTAAGAGGGGCCTGAACGGTACTTAAACGGCAGTTAATGAAAAGTTGAAGGGAAAATCAAGGACATTTGAAAAGGGTTTAAGAGGAATAGAGGGGGAGGTGCAATGAAGCCACCGATATTAAGCACAAATGACGTCACCATTCACGTCATTAGTGCTTCATTGTGCTTCACACCAGAAACCGGACACACCTACCGTTCAGGAGATATAAAGCCTCAAAGTTAGAGGCCGGAAGTTACCCACAGCTTTTTTATTATTAAGCACAAATGTCGTGATCTGGCAGAATCCTTAGTGTTTCACACAAGAACGCACAAATATCGAAATGGGGGAGAATCCTTAGTGCTTCGTTGGTATTCATTCGTGACTGGAAGTTAGTCACAGAATTTCTTGTTAATGCAAATAGAGCAATCTATACAACACTCTTCTGCTTCGATCTGGAAAACGATTAGCAGCCAATTCTCTGGATAAATAATTCCAAAGGCGATATAGGAAGTTTCAAAAATGCAAATCTTAATTTAAATTTAATATCTCGTTCAAGGAGTATTGTTATATTCTTAGCGCATTTTCCAACTCATGCTGGAAGGCGCTATTATGGCCAATTTCTCCTTCCGTCCTTCCGAGACCTTAACTACTTCTAGTTTTCAAGAAATTAAGTTCGTTCTTTTTGCCTTCGGTAGCTTATAGCTCTGGCACCTCAACCAAAGAGTAATAATTGGTTACTCTTTGCCTCAACCAAGAAAATCTTGGCGATTAATGGGCGCACGCGCAGGCTGCGCAATGTCACTTTCTTTTTATGACAACTTTTTTTTTAAATTTCAACCACAGATGCTTGTAGGAAAGAGACAAACATCGCATGTTTTAAACATCAGCCGTGTTCGTTACGTGAACTTTCGGGAAGTACTAATCAATTAATTCATCAATTCATGGCGCCTTAAGGCGAAAACCTTTATTCATTTTTTTACATGTGCGATGTCATAATAAAACAAGCTGGGATCAAATGTGTTTGATCCTTCAATAGAACCTTGAAGCAATTAATTAAATACCCTGACAACGTTTTTAATTGCGTTAATAACTTTACAATTCCTAACAGTTGCTAAAGATCCATCGCAGACCACAGTTTTTCGGTTTGAGGCACCACAACGCTTCCAGTCTTTTAGCTATAGAGGCCGGTCCACGAAAACCGTTATCTAAGAATATTCAGGCTCTGATTGATTTAAATCTAAAAATTGGTGTAACAGTTTTTCATGATCTATTGAAAAAAATGTTATCACGATTATTTCACTTCCTGTTGTGTACCGGATGTGGATAGCAACTTTCTAATTTTAAATAGAATACCCTGTATTTTATTGCTTTTTCGAAATCAAAATGAAAATTCATGTCGATTGATACTATATCCAGCAAGAATGATTTTTAAGTCACTCAAGATTTTTCAAAATGTTTGACGTTTGACTGCTTTTCATTTGAGCCCTGTACCTATGACTCCGTTGACTTGAATGTCAAAAGTAACTTTCAAATGAAACATACTTTTTTTGCACTTTCAAATGTCAGCTACACCTATCTGTTTGCTTTTCTTTTTATTTTACATGTTCTAAAATTGTGACTATTAGGCATAATTAGGAGGACTGGAAATAAATGCGTTGCGAGTGTACCATTCTTGGAAACATTACCTACTGGTTTCACCTTGACGCTTATTTGACGAACATTTTTGAAGACAGATGCATTGAGCTCATAGATCTCTGGCAGTGGCCTCTTAGATCTCCAGATATAACGCCACTGGACATTTATGTGTGGGGTCATAAAAAACAAAGTTTATTTCGCATTGCTTTTTGTGAACTGGAAGTTAGTGTGAGAAGAGTTTTTGATGAAATGGGCGCAGTAGAAATTCGAGAGGTATTCACCGAATTATGCATTGATAAAAAACGTCACGTAGAACAAAACCTCATTTGATGTATGTTTTTTATTTTGTCGTTTGCTATTATCACCTGTTTCTCTTTATTGTTTCATCTCCATTTAACTTTGTGTTCATTAAAGTAAATAGGATTCCTTTCATATTTAGTGATATAAACAGGTTATAATAACAAACGAACTACGGATGATAACAATTATAATCACAAAAAGATTTGTCTGGGAAGTCTGCTAAAGCACTTATTTCAAGGCCTCCTATGAAAATTATGCATGACGGTCCAGAGCTGAGTACTGCTCGCGAGCGTTTCGCTCAAAAAAGCGCTCTAATTGCACTATACGCTCGCGAGCACTTTTCGGAGCGGCCGCTTGGTGCTCGATACTCGAGCGTTTAGTTAAAGTGCTCGGGGCT